GTTGCAAGCACATTTACCCTTGGAGCCTTCTCACCAGCCCTGCTCACCCCTATCCTCATCTGAGAAATGGGTTTCTCAGTATTGTTTTGCTATTTGTGTTTTTTAACACAGGGTTTCATGAAGCCCAGGCTGTTCTCAGACCCTCCTGCTGGGATTAAAGGTGTGCACCACCACGCCTGGTTGCAGACTTCAGCTCCACTTACAACACCTTTCCAGGCTCTGCGGCCTCTGGGCTTTTGCACCTGCTGAATTGAATTCTCTCCTCTGGTTGTCCCTGCGCACTTCCCCCCCACCCCCACCCCCCGTTCCCTGAAGCTCACCCATGGACGCCTGGCCCTGAGAACCGCTATACTTTCATGTGTGTAATGTGGGACCTGTCATCTGGAAATATTTACCCCCCACGTGGAACAGATCCCGCTTGTTGACGTCAGCCGCACCCCCATTTGTTCACCCGGAGGCGGCGTCTCTATTTTAAGAGGCTGAGGGCGGGCTCGCATCTAACTGGGGCCCGGCGACACCGCCGCGTACCAGCCCCGCCTCCACTCCCGCCTTCCCGCGCAGGTCTCTGACCCTAGGCTTCCTCCGGGGGACCCGCCCCACTGCTCCCGTCTGAGCAGCTTTACTCAATCTTCACTTCCCTAAATTCCACTGCCCTGTGCCCGGCCTCCGGCCGCCCGGGCCACCGTCCGACCTGCACTAGCTTCGGGTCTAAGGCAGTTGAGGCTGTGCACACAGCAGGCGCTCAATAAGTGCAGGGCAATCGGCAATGTGCAGTTCCCCACTGCAAACCTGTTGGCCGCTTAGGCGTGTTGCCCCAGCCTCAGAATCAACCAGGCAAACCTTTTTGAGTTTTGCAGATGTTACAGAAGGGGAAACTGAGGCCCAGAGAGGTCAGGGGCGTCGTCTTCCAGAATCTCATAACCGAGAGTGCCCTGGACTTGCATTCGTTCGTACTTCCCTGTGGCGCGGTAAATCAGGAAACCACCGCACTCACACACCCTGCAGATCCTTCCTTTCACACAGATCTGTGACCCTAGAGAGATGGTATCCCAGCTGGGCAACCTCGGGGTTGAGGGTGGCTTCCCTAGCAAGAGCCTCATCGGTGGAAGAGACCGGAGACAGAGGACTGGCTGCTAGCAGAGACTCTGGCCGGCGGCTGAGCTCTGTCCACCTCAGCGGCTGCACTCGCGGGAACTTGACGCCCTCCGGCGGGTGTAGTGAGACGACCCTGGAGCTCCTTCTCCCCACTCCAGAGGCCTAGCCTCAGTTTCCCCATTTGTCTGACAGAGACCTCTCCCTTCCCGAGGTGCGCAAAACGCTCTGGGCAGCAGGTGGGCAGAGGGCGCAATCTGACGCTCCCCGGCCTTCCTCACTCCCTGCCTCAGTTTCCCCGCCCGGAAGGCACTGTCCGCGCTCCCGCCCGCGCCAGGACTCACCTGGAGCCCGCGGCGCCGCAGGAGGCTCGGCTGGTCCATGGTTGAGTGTCCCCGGCGGCCGGGCCCGCCTCAAGCCACGCCCTTGTCCACTGACCACGCCCCCGAACATCATTGGTCCGGTCGGTCAGCTGATACCGGATGGCCCTTCCCCTCGGGCCCTGAGCATTTTGCAACTAAGCGAATGTTCTGCAGATCCCAAAACCAGGCTTTCAGACGAGAAGCCGCGAGCTGAGGCCACCCAGCAGGACCTTCACGCGGGGCTCTCACCTTGATACAAAAGCAATTCCCCAAGACTCCGTCTTTAAGAAAAAGTTGGTATTTTTTAAAAACCTATTTATCGTTAGAATTTTTTTTTTTTGGACAGGCTAGCTTTCTTATGTAGCTGCAGATGACTCTGAACTCCTCATATCCCTGCCTCCCCAAGTACTGAGATGACAGCTGCCGCCGCGACAGAATTTAACTAGTGCTGGGCTCAAACCCAGAGCTCCGTGCATACCAGGCCAGGTGCCGGCAGCTCTAGGTTATTTTCCCTGCGTTGCTGGGCATGGAATCCCGCACCCCACACACATATCGGCCCCTACCACAGAGACCCCTCCCATACCCAATTTTACGGATTTTTAAAAGCTATGTGGAGTCGGTCATGCTGGCGCTCACCCTTCATCCTAGCACGGAAGGAGGCAGCGGCAGGGCTAGAAACAAAGGTCATGCTCTGCTACATAGAGAGCTGCAGGCAAGCCTGGGCTACATGAGACCTTGTTCCAAAACAAATCAGACTTTTTAGTATCTTCATCACCACCTCCTAACCCTAAAATATCTCCAAAGATCCCATCAGCACCAGCAGGCACTCCAGCTCCTGGCAGCCCTCTGGTTCTGTGGATTTGATTGCACTGTGGGCGGTGTCTTTGGGTCTGCAGGCTGCCACTCCACCCACCTCATAGCGCTGTCAGGTGCGCCTTCCTTTTTGTGGCTGAGTAGTATTCCAGCGCTGTGAGGCTCACTGGCTCACCTACTGAGCATCACTGACCACTCCTCCTTGTAGCTATCCTGGGTTAGATGCAATAAATGTTCCAGAACAAGGAATGTCTTTTTTGGCATATTTTCCCGACTCGTGGATGTATACCTGAGAGTGGACTTCCCAGGGCCATATGGCAGCTTTGTGCTTTCCAGGGTTGGTTTCTCAAAGCCCCCGCTCACCAAGCAAACGTCAACCAACAGTGACTAAGTCTTCGGGCAAATGCTAGGTCCCTGCGACACACAGGCTGGAGTCTGGCTAAAAAACGAGCGTGCAAATTCTACCAATCACAAACACTGAACAGTAATGGACCCTTGTCCCTTAGAACTCTCCTGCTGTGTGGCCAGGCAGCAGGATCAGATGTTCAAGACCAGCCAGAGGTATATGAGACCACAAGCCTAAACATAAAGACGTAAATGAATGCCTTAGAGCACTGTATGTGAGTGATTTTTCTAAATGTTTTTACTGAGGCTGCAGACAGAGCTCTGTAGGTAAGACACAGGTCCCATCACCCACAAAACAGCTCACAACCATCTGTAACTCCAGGTCCAGGAGTTCTGATGCCCTCTGCTGGCTAGTAACAGTGCAGGCAAACACCACACATTAAATAAAAATAAAGAAAACCTTTTAAATTGTTCTTATTCATAAATGATGCTTGTGTGCTTATTAAATGAACAAGGTTTTCCTTGCAAACTCCTTTTCATCCTTCAACACCCTCCATGATTGCTTCTTCAGGGCTTCAGGCTCTCTTGGACACAGAAAGCAAAGTCACTCCTTCACTGGTGGCCATGGGGACATTCAATATTTCTTTTGATATGGTTTCCGGACCCTTGTAACCTGTTCCTTCCTGCTCACCGCCCCCAAATGTGTAATGTTTCTGAAAGTGGCACCCTGGGCACTTAGCTCCACCAGACCTCCATGAGCAGCAGCTGGGAGGAGCTAGAAGGGGGAGGGGAGGAAGGTACATGTGGGTGCCCCATATTGTGACCTCAATAAGGCAAGCCCTGGCACTCCAATGTGCCTGGACTCTCTCTACTTCTCATACCCCATGGCTCCTCCTCCCCCCAACCAGGCAAGCCCTTCAGCTTGTCACATGAAGAAGTATGACAAGGGCTCAGGACAGGGCGTGCCACATCAAGCACTCACCATATGTGTCTGGTTGCTGTTCACCCAGCCTGACCCACCTTCATATGCAGCTCATTGGGGAAGCTGAGTCAGGTGTGTGTGTGTGTGTGTGTGTGTGTGTGTGTGTGTGATGGACTGGCAGGGACAGGGAAGTGCAGAAAGACCCACATCTGGTCCCAGTGGGGATCCTTGAATCCATCTCTTTGCTTCCAGCTCTGGTCTCTGGACAAAGTTTTCCCCTCTATGCTGTAGAGCTATATTGAGATCATTAGAAGGATGAAGCCCAAGCTACAATCTTCCACAAATTTCCCTCCCTTGCTGGCTGGCCTAGAGCTTGCGGCCATCCTCCTGCCTCAGCCTCCCAAGTATGTCAGTGCACCTGCCCTGGCCTGCCTCTCTGCTCCATCTCTCTGACCCTGCCCCTCCCCCAGGCTCCCTGCACCCTCCCTTCCAGCGCCATTGCAGTCAGTCTATGTGGGATCACTGGGTGTGAGTGTCATTGTGCCAGGGCCAAGATACAGCCTCATTGTCCCAGAAGCACTGACCTCATAGCCTACAGGAAGCGTGACCCTGGGCCAGGAGGGCCAGCTGTGCTGGGGACAAGGCTCCTCCCAAAGCACATGAACTTGTCCACATGGGCCTCAGTTTCTCCAAAAAATTATCATCTGACTCCTTTATCTGAGCCCTGGAAATCAGGAGACTTTAACCCAAGACAGGGTTTCTCTGTCTTGGGTTGGAGGCTGTCTTGAGACTCACTCTGTAGACCAGGCTGGCCTAGAACTCCTGATCCACCTGCCTCTGACTCACGAATGCTGAGCTTAAAGGCATGCGCCACCACCGCTGGGCTGTGAAAACATCTTTAGAGAAAAATCATCATACCACTTAAAATTTCTCTCTTTTAAGACAGTCTATATAGTATTGGCTGCCCACAAATCCATGGTCTGGGTGCTGGGAAAAGAACTTTAAAATATAACTTACAGGCTGGGGGCCCAGTTTCTGGGCCTCTGCTTAGCATGCATGAAGCAGGGCTCCATGCCCAGCACCCCATAAACCAGGTATGGCTGTGACACCTGTCCCAGCCCCAGCATTGGGGAGGTGGAGGCAGGAGAATCAGGAGTTTAAGGCCAGCCTCAGCTACATAGTGAGCTTAAGTCCATCCTGAGCTACATGAGGCCCTGCCTCAAAAAAAAAAAAGGGGGACCCTCAGGCTCACTTATCTTGGGGATGGGTCACAGTGGGGGGTAGGGGTGGTGAGGGGCTGACTTCCTGGCTTTTACTTTCACTTTGACTGGCAGGGGAGGTAGTGACTTTTTCTTTCTTTTCTCCCTCATTTCATTTTTCATGTCAGCATGTTCCGGGGTGGGGACAGGGTGGCTGGGCCCCTTCAGCGGTGCAGAAGTTCCTGAGCTTCACAGCTCCTCGTGGACCTGATGGGGCTGAGAAGGACCGGCCAGCACATCTTCGCTGTCCTTCTGATTTGCCAGCTGGGCGGTGAGTCCTCCCAAGTGCTCAGCCCACATCTCCTGAGTGGAGAGGGAGGGGTTTGTGGAGTCTCCAGGTCTCTGAGCCGACTGTCACATAGGATCTCTGTGACCATGGTGGCAGGGGTCTCACTAGTTTGAGTTTCTCCTCTACTGAAGGTCCTGGTTCATCCCCATTTCCCATCTTCTTAAATAAGACAAGCTCAAGGAATTGCAGGCAGGCACATGTAAGGCTGCATGCTCTGCGCACAGCTCACAGCACACACTCACATGGGATCTGCACAGGCAGGTTCTTGGACACCTCATGGACCAGGCGGGGGTCCACCTCCATCATGGCTGCTGTGAGACTCTGGGCAAATTCTGTGCCTCTCTGTGCCTCTGCATTCCTCTGTAGGTCAGGGATCTGAAGTTTGTTGGCCCTCCCTTTCAGCTGGATGGAGGGAACAATCAGGGATGGCGATTGGAACGTCACACCAAAAGGGCTTCAGGACTTCTGGGACGCCATGCTGAGATTCTTAGCAAGAGGCAGGGACCCACGGAGGGCCGCCATCAGAGAGATAGCTGGCTGGTGGTGGCAAAGAGGGGACAGCATGGCCAGGAAACATGGCTTCAGGTTGTGAGACTGGGGTCACCAGAGAAAACAGGAAGCATTGAAGGGTGCACCTGCCACCTGAGAATCCAGAAGACTCCCAGAGTTGGCATAACCCTTGCTTGTGGTGTCCTACACTCTCACAGGGCAGCACTATCTCCTGGGGGCTGCCCCTGCCCTGACTGCCAGCAGCCAAGTGCACTCACTGGGTACCCCAAGTCTCCCCCTGCCCTGAGGAGGTCTAGGGCAGCACCTGCTCCTGCTTGGTGCCCATTCCTGTGCCAATGCTGTGCGACCTGGAGCCATAGGGACCTGAGGGATTCTGGGTCTGGGGTAGTCAGACGGCTGAGGTTCAACAGAGCTCTGGAAGGATAGGAACTCGGGATGAGTGAGGAGGTGAGGATGGGGAAGAGTAGGTGTGTGGGCAGATCAGTGAGTGGGGGCTGGGGTGAGAGGTCTTCCATTGGATGTGTTGATGCAAATAGACACACAGCCAGGAAGGGGGTAGGCAGGCTGATGCTCACCCCTGTGCCCTCCCAGACTCACATACCCCGCTGTGCTGCCAACCTCTGTCATTTTCTCTTGTCTTTCAGTGTCCTGTAGAGCTGACAGCTGCAACTTTGAGAAGCCACCGCTGTACCCAGATGGAGCCCCAGGTCTGGCATGGCCCCTCCCAGGCTGACAGCCACACCAGGCTTGCCTGCCTCTCTTGTCCCCATGTGTATTTCCATTGTCCTACTGCTCAACCTCGGGCCCCAGGCTGTCAGGCCCCAGCACAGCTGGGCCCTGCCTGTCCCTTCCAGGCACCATCTTGACCCGCTACTGGCTGCCCCTGCAGCCTGGTCACAGGGTTTAAGACCCTGTTATTCACATGGGTCAGTGTTTGGGACAACTACCTGCTACACATTCTCCCTATGTCCTTAAGTGGGATGTTTTTATTTGTTAACAGATTTCACAATAGGAACTCCAAGAGAAAGGTCCCAAATATACTGTTTAAAAAAAAATTACAGGAATCCAACTGTGGAGATGCACAGGCTCTTATCCCATGCATTGGAAGGCTGAGGCAGGAATTCATCTTTAGCTAATAAGGTTGAGGTCAGCCTGGGCTTCATGAGACTCAAAATCAAAACAAAATACTGTAGGGAAGTGGGGTGCAGTTCCCTGAGCAGGTAAGAAGATGCTAGTGCCCAGTGTTGCCTGAATAAGGGGTGTGGTCTCATTCAGCCCAGCAGGTGCAAAAAGGTTCCAAGGTGGAAGTCTGCCCAACAGCTATGAGGTCCAGAAACAGTGCTGGCTGGGTAGAGCAGGACAGGCTGGGAGGCGGGACTAGGACAAGGGAAGCTTCCTGCTGGGAGAGTCCCACTTCTCACTCAGACTTCTACAATCTCTTGAAGGCACCTTCTCAGGACCCAGGAACTTGAGTTGCTACAGGGTTTCCGGGGCAGACTATGAATGCTCCTGGCAGTATGATGGCTCTGAGGACAATGTCACTCACTTCCTGAGGTGCTGGTAAGGACTTGTCCCCACAACCTCACTTGATGCCCAAATCCCACACAGCCAAGATCTGTGTGTGAACTCGTGATTAACATGACCGCTGCCAATCTTTGTCATGTAAGATGCAGCATGTCACGGCAAGGGGTGGAAAGGCAACATGCTGCTTCCTAGTCTTTTTTTTTTTTTTTTTTTTTTTTTTTTCCAAGATAGGGCTTCTCTGTGTAGTCCTGGCTGTCCTTTGTAGACCAGGCTGGCCTGGAACTGACAGAGACACTCCTGCCTCTGCCTCCTGAGTAAAGGCTGGGATTAAACAATGCCTGACTCGTTTTCTAGTCTTTACTTCATGGTTCTCTCACCCATTCCCTCGCCCCCACCCATCCGCTTCCTCCACTGACTCATCACTAACCCTCCTCCGGCAGCTTCAGTGGTGGGCGATGCTGCTACTTCCCTGCAGGCCGTTCCAGGACTGTGCAGTTCTCAGAACAGGCTGGTGTCCCTGTGCTGTCTCTCGTCACGTTCTGGGTGGAGTCTCGGCTCAGCAACTGGACCATGAAGTCTCTGGAGATATCCCTGTACCTGTCTGAGTGGAGTGAGCTCCCTGCCTTACCTGTCCCTCTGTCACCCCAAGTCGAGGATGGAGGACAGGACATTGAAGTGTGGCAAGGAAGTCTTGCTGCTTGGGGATAAATACCCTGTCACTGGGCTCTTAGGTTTCTTCTGGTATAGCCTGATCTTCTGCTCCCCACAGGCCTGGAAGCCCCTCCTGGGATCTGTGTGTTTTCATGACTAAGCGTGTCTTTGACAGAGTCCTGTCCTGAGTGAGGATGTGGGTTGTGGGCAGGTTCAGGGATGGCGGATGTGGGTGGGCTAGTGAGTGGGGCCAGCATCCTTCCACTAAGAAGGGCAGAATGAACTCACAGAGGCAGGAAATTAGCCAGGGCAGCAAAAGTTTCTTTTGTCAGTGGGAACATTCTCCTGCAAGATGTCTGTTTGAGGAGATGGATACAACTGAGAAGAGAACCAGGGTTTTCTTCATACTCTACCTGGAGCCACACCCCAGCCCTTCCCTGGGGGATCCTAGGCGGGGCTCTACCTCTTATCATCCCCCAGGGTTTTTTCTTCAAGATTTATGTATTTTTATTTTACATGTATGTATGTTTTGCCCCTGTCTGGTGCCCAGGAAGGTGAGAAGAGGTGCTGAACTCCCTGGAGCTAGAGTTACAGACAGCTGTGAGCTGCCATGTGGGTCCTGGGAATTGGTGCTGAGTCCTCTCAGGTGCTCTTAACTCCTGAGTCATCTCTCCAGCCCCTTAATACAATCTATGTTTCTTAAATTGTTGGACTGGGGACATAGTCTACAGGTAGACATGAACCTAGCATTCACAGAGCCCTAAGATTTCATTCCAGCACTGCATGGATCAGGGGTGGGGGTGAACACTGGTCATGTGTGCTCTTGGGAGGCAGGAGGATGATGAGTTCAAGGCAAGCCTCAGTTACAAGAGACCCTGGGCTGAAGAAACAACAAAAGCTGAGGAGGAAAAACCCCGTTCCCCAACTCTAGGTGCAGAATGCCATCTCTGCATTCTCATCAGAGTGAACCACAGGTGTCCTGGGCAAACCTGGACATTTGCACTCAAATCACAGGCATGTTCTCCACCCCTACAGTCAAGTTCAAACCTCCTCTGGGAGATATCAAAGTGCTTCGTACAGACGGACAGTTACGCCTGGATTGGAATGTCACCGATGAGGTTCCAGCTGAGGTGCAGTTCAGGCGCCGGACGCCCACAACAAATTGGACATTGGTGAGTTTGTTTCCCAAGTCAAAGGCCACCTTAACACCATCCGTGTTGCCCAGTCTTCATCCCCAGGGTTGGCAGCTCTGCCTTTCCACTTGCGCTACAGTCCTCGGACCTTCCTCCTAAGCACCCCTTCCCAGTGGCCATCCATTCCCTTCCCTGGGCATCCTGCCAGCATCACACTTTTTTCACAAGCACTGGGCTGCCTTTCTCTGCCGGATCCCTGTAGTCCAGCCTGTTGCTTGGGATAGTTGTGAGGCCTATCCCGATCAGCTCACACCCACCTGGGCATCAGAGCAGTGAGGGTCACCTCTTGTTGCGCTCGATTCTTTGTCTCCTTTGATCCCTCCCTCCCTTCCCCATCCACTCCTCAGCCACTGCAGTCCCATGGTTCTCCCACTTCTATGATCCTACCTGGGCCTCAGTTTTCCTCACAGATAAATAGTCAATGTTTATCTGTGAGGAAAACTGAGGGGAGCTGGGCTTGGTGGCACCCACCCCTCACCCCAGCACTTGGGAGATACTGGAGGAAGGCACAGTGAAATTCAGGCTCTGAGAACAAAACAGAAAAGCCCCGACAGCTCATTTCTGGACCAGTAAGTTTAAACCAGTCATATACCCAATCTCTTTTTTAGGGTGACTGTGGACCCCAGGATAACTCTGGCTTGGGTGTGATTGAGGACATTCATGGTAGCATTTCTGGTAAGCATTAATGAGTCCCCTACTGCATGCAGAGCCTGTGGTCTGCCCTGTGGCTCAGTATGGGTTTATTCCCACTCTGTAGGCCACAGAGTGAGGTGTAAAAGAGCAGGGTGGCAGTGGAGGGGTGTGTCAGAGCCTCCTGCAAAGGAGCACAGTGGCTAAAGAGGGACCCAGGGACAGTCAGCAGACAGTGTTGGCCAGCCCCAGTAGGCTGACACCATGATCCATGCCCTGCCTCTACCCAGAGTCCTGCCTCTGCCCTGCAGTGAACGTGGCCCAGGAGTTCCAGATTCGGCGGCGGCGGTGGCAGCTCTCTTTGGGAGCTCCTGGAGGCCCCTGGAGTACTTGGAGCAATTCTGTGTGTGTCCCACCTGGTGAGGACCCTGGGCTACAAGCACTAGGAAAGGGTCTGCAGAGCTAAGTGTAATAGTGCACACCAGTCATCCCAACACCAGGGAAGCTGAGACAGGAGAATTGTGGTTTTGAGGTTAGCCTGAGCTCTATAGCCATACTCACTCTCAAAAGGAAAAAAAAAAAATGTGGCAGCAAGTTTCAGTCATCAGGCTGAGGGGGTTAAAAACAAGGCCACCAGAGAAGCCTGCATGGGCTTCCTGAACAGTACCCTGGCTTTGGCATATCTCCTTTGTCACTCTGTGAGGTCTCTGGGACAAAGCCACCTGCCTGGAGCAGGTTGCCATCTCTAGCTGAAGGCATCAGGCCTGACCCTGACTGAGGAACTTCACACCTGTGCTCTGAAGAAAATGGGAGGGGTGGGGGAGCAGCTCCTGTCCCAGCCAGGTCTTTATGGTCTTCTGAACACTGGCCTAGGTACTGCTTACTGGGGCTTTCACTGCTCTCCTTACAGAACCCTTCCCCCAGCCTGAGGTCAAGTTCCTGGTGGAACCACTGGGCCAAGGTGGAAGGCGACGTCTGACCATGCAAGGCCAGGTGACTGGGTCAGCCTGGGCTGTGCTTGGCCTGGGCAGGGGTACAAGGCAGGAGGGAGGAGAGAGAGACACAGATGAGAGGCAGGAGTGGCAGAGGCCACAGGTTGTGGGGTCAACCTTGGAGGTTGGCTGGGCATGGTGGCCAGCACCTGTCTCTCCAGCACGGGGGTCGCAGGAGGATGAGCAAGGTCATCCTCAACCATGACATGAGACCCTGTCTCTCTGCCAGTAACGGTGAGCTGTGGAGAGTGTGTGAGTAGGGAGGGCAGTGTCCTTGGTGTCCTGGGTCCCTATGCCAATCTCCTGCTTTGCAGTTGCTGCAGCCAGCTGTCCCCAAGGGTTGTGTGGGAGTCAGGTCCGGTGCGCAGGTGAAGTACGTGCTGCGTGTGCACATGTTGTCCTGCATGTGCCAGCCTCAGAGCCGGAAGACCGTGTTCCTAGGCAAGACGCTGAACCTCTCCGGGGCTGCCTACGACTTGGTCGTAGTCACCAGGACTCGCTTCGGCCGCAGCCCCTACCAGACGTGGCACCTTCCTGCCCAAGAGCTCACAGGTACCCCGGGCCCAGAGGAGGGACATGAGGGTAGCAGGTTCCATCCTATATGCACTGAGGATTTGCCAGGTCCGGGTCCCTTCCTCATACGCAAAACAATGAGATTAAGACGGTGTCCAAGTGGAGGACGCATGAAAACTTCAGTCATCGAGATGTATGTTTAATGCAGGACTTTAAAACAAACTCAGGTCACAGAGCCAGCTGGGCGGTGCTCCAACCTCCAGCCTGGGGATCTGTCGCCCTCTGCTGGCCTCTGTGGGACCTGCACACACGTGACAATTTAAAAAAATTCTATCTGGCAAGCTATACTTCAGGCCAGCTGCCTGCCTCCATCAGCTGAGCGATGGGAAGTGTTGTTTAGGTGCTTTCTGAGGCTGGTCTAGAACTCAGGCTGCTCCCTCAGCCTTTCAAGTGTTGGGATGACAGGGTTGGTTGTGGCACACACCCTGCTGTGTACCTTTTAATAAGTTACTTTTCATGAGAAAGTTCACCGTTTCATGTGGGCACACTTGCCAGGGTGTCTGTGGAGGGCGGAGGCCAACCTTCTGTCGGCAAGGTGAGCCTTCCATCCCTTGGGTCCTGGGAATGGAGCTCAGTCTGCCAGACCTGGCAGCAATAGTTTTGACCTACTTTGCCATCTTATTAGCCTCCTAAAATATTTTTATCTGCCAAAGGCAGACCCATGGTTGGGTACAGTGGCTCACAACTGTCAGTACTCAAGGCAGAGACAGTAGGATTTGGAACTCCACCACAGCAGACTCTTGTCACCCTCTGACCTGTGATTAAACTTTATGCCATGCACCCAGCATCTGTGAGCCTGTGGCCTCAGAGTTAGGCACAGCTGGCCTGGCTGCAGGCCTGTTGGAGCTGGCTTGATTGAGTCAGGGTGTTGATGGGCACCACACACATGCTGGTGGCTCTGCCTCTGTGTGTAAAATAGGGTGATGGTGGCACATGACTTTAGTCCCATCCCTTGGGAGGCAGAGGCAGGCGATCTCTGTGAGTTTGAGGCCAGCCTCGACTATAGAGTGAGTCCCAGGACAGCCAGGGTTACTCAAGAGAAACCCTGTTTCAAAAAAACAAAAACAAAAACCAGAGTCCAATTTGTAAACAGGTGATACCTGAACAGGATTAGCCTGGCAAACAGTTGATGCTCAATAAATGCTAATTGATCTCAGAGTTTGAGGCTGAGTGTGGGTCTATGATTCTCACTGACATGCTAGTGACACGTTGTTCCCATGGGTGCTCGGGGCTCCTTCCAGGGTTGAGAACCTTGAATGTCAGCGTGGAAGGCAATGTGACATCCATGCACTGGGCAGCCCAGGCTCCAGACACCACCTACTGCCTTGAGTGGCAGGCACAGGGCCAGGGCAGGAACCACACCTATTGTACTCTGATTGCACCAGAAGATGAGGACCCAGCTGGGACGGGTATGTCACTCTCAGATAAATATGCTCTGTGATAACACATGGCTAGCTCTAACCTCCAGGATCTGTGCAGACAGGGTGTCTGAAGCCCAGAGAGGTAACTTCACATACTCATAGTCACACAGCAGCTGGTCCAGGCAGAGGCTAGATAGAACCCTTGCCATCTGCAGCTTTGGCTGGGTTCCTGGGCTGCTCCCTGGGCAGGTCACACCCTGGGCATAATGCATCTCACATATTAACTATAGTGATTTAAACACTCCCTATGTGCCAGGGAGGGTGACAAGTCACAGTTGCTAGTGGTGAGTCAGTGAGGGCTGAAGGAGCTGGATGGTCCTGGCAGTGTCTTCTGACTCTCTGCTCTGAGCTTGGACTCTCCCACAGTGCGGAGGTTGGAGTAGTGGAATGAAGGATCCAGGAGAAGAGGCTTAAGGGCTTTGAAGCATGAGTGGAGTTTTCAAGGCAGTCAGCAGAAGGCAGCACAGACTGACCACTAAGGACATACTTGTTTAGTGACCCCCTGCTCTGCTGGTCCTTCCAGTGACCCACAGCTGGAGCTCAGAGCCTGCCCTGGACCAGGAGGAATGTTACCGCATCACGGTGCTCGCCTCCAAGGATCCAGAGAACCCAGTGCTGTGGTACACAGTCCTGTCCAGTTACTACTTTGGGGGTAATGGTGAGTAGCTCTGATTTGTATCCTTGATGACCTTGGAGTGTTAGGTGACACGATGGCTGTGGGTGGGGCCAGAAATGTGGGCGGAGCCAAGAATTGAGCAGGCAAAATGCTAGTGCTGTGGGTGGTGGGTGGAGCCATGCATGCCAGTGGGTGTGGCCAAGGCTACACGTAAACCCATATTGTACTTAGGGAGGTAGGTGGAGCCATGCCAGTGGGGGGGGGTGTCATCTGGTGGGAGGTCCACCATGGAGGAGGCGTGGCGCTGGATGTGGTCGCTGTGGGCGGGGCCTTCCCTCGGGCTGCCTCACAGCTGACAGGTTTTGTGCAGCCTCGGTGGCTGGGATCCCAAGCCACGTGTTGGTGAGGAACCACAACGGGAACTCGGTGTTCGTTGAGTGGGCGCCGTCGAGGCTAAGTGCCTGCCCGGGAGTCCTGACGCGATATGTCGTGCGCTGCGAGGCTGAAGACAGCGAGTGGGCATCAGGTACAGTGGTGGCATCAGCGGGAACCCGACTATATGACATGGGCTGAGGCAGGGCACACCCCCAGTCCTCCCCAGCCAACTGGAGGCCTATATGAGCCTATGATGGCCATTCTCATTCGAACCACCGCTTTCCTTTTTAACTATGTATTTATTAATTCGTTTACCATGTATGATAACATGGTGTCCACGGAGCACGTGTAGGCCAGAGGAAAGCTTGTGGGTCGAACTCTCATCAGGCTGGGCAATTAAGGCTTTCAAGGAGGACTTGCCAGTCTGCCTGGCTTTTTTTTTTTTTTTTTTTTTTTTTCTCATTCTGTAGCCCAGGCTGGCCTCAAACCTACAACAATCCTCCTGTCTCAGCTTCCCTAGGAAATCTCTATTTCCCAGGACGTGCACTGAGCCAACATCCTGTTCTCCTTGACTATTTTTGTTACCTCTTAAAACCTTCGTTTATCGCTGATGGTTTTAAGTGTACATGTGTTGCCTGCATCTGTACCCATTGTATCCATGTGTGAGCCTGATGACCGCAGATGCTGTCGGGACCAGAAATGGAGTCACCGACAATCATGAGCTGCCTTGTGGCCAGGTGCTGAGTTCTGAGCTCATCCTCAAGCCAATCTTGGACCCCACAGGGCTGCCCCGAGTGTCAGGCTGGCCCCACCGGCCATGAAAGGACCCCTAACCCACGTTGCCTCCCTCCAACAGAGTGGCTCGTGTCACCCACAAAGACCCATGTGACACTTCAGGGACTGCACAGTGGCGTGGTGTACAAGGTACAGGTGCGAGCAGACACTGCGCAGCTCCTAGGCTTCTGGAGCCGCCCCCAGCGCTACAGCTTTGGTGAGTGGGGACAGCTACCAGCTGCTTACCCACCATGCACTTTGCCGCTCTTCCCATAATGACCTCCACATCCCTGCGGTGGCTAAGAATCCCTCTGTGGCTTTCCATGGACCTTGCAGAAAGGACCAGTCAAAAACTCCTTTTCTCTTCCGACCTACCTGATCTGCCTGCAATATTTGATTTTCCCTCGCCCACTTGTCAAACTCCTATTTATCCTTCAAAACTAAGCTGTAAAGTTCCCTGTCTCTAAACCACAGTGCCAGAGGAACCACCCTCTTCCCTCTTGACTCCTTGGGTTGCTTGCTGTTCGTGGGTCAAGCTGTGTCTTCCCCAGTAGGGCGGCTCCTGAGGTGTGGGAAAGGAAGAATGGGCACACCTCCCTCACCTCAAGTTGTCCCGCCCCCAGAGGTGCAGTTTTCCCGTTTGTCCATCATTTTCGCGTCTCTGGGGAGCTTTGCCAGCGTCCTCCTCGTGGGCAGCCTCGGATATATCGGTTTGAACAGGTAACTCGCGCTAGGTCACTGTTGAGCCTAAAGTGTGTATCTGCTCTGGCCTTATAGACGAGGAGACTGAGGCACTGGGGGCCAGGAACTGGATCGCGGCGCAGAAATGGGGTGTGGTGTGCGGGACTAGATCCACACCACACCCTTCACAGCATAACGGGAAGAAAAGGAAGATTCAGAACTCCTCTCTGATCTGACATCTTTTGTTCCCAGGGCGGCCAGGCATTTGTGCCCACCCCTGCCCACACCGTGTGCCAGCACAGCTGTGGAGTTCCCTGGCAGCCAGGGCAAGCAAGTAAATGTTCCTTTTCAGCTTCCAATTGTTTGATGCGTACTGCGGGTAGTGGATGTTGTCCAGTACAGCTCATCCAAACCACCCCAGCGCGGGCTGGAAAGCCAGACAGAGGAATCTTATAGAAGCAGAACTTAAATGGCTTTGACAGAAGGGAAAGTTGAAAAATAAAGACAAGGCTGTGGGCTTCAGGCGTGGCTGGATCCAGGAACACAGGATCCAGTTGTCTGGGAGTAACTCTCCTCCTGGGGGTCTCACCCTTGCCTGCTTTAGGGGTCTTTCTGGCCTCTCCATTAGCTAACAACCAAGTCTCAGGGCCAGCTGTGATTGGTCCACCTGAGTCACACGCTTAGGGGCGCTTGTGGCTGGAATCCTCTGATTGGCCAGTCAAAAGAGATGCGAGGTCACGCGGGCTGGGGAAAGGAAAATTCTCCTGAGAACAACTGGGTAGACATGGGTAGATCCACTCCACTATAGTCCTACAAGCGGCCAATTACATAGCCCCGCCCACACAAGACAGCTCTGTCCTGCCCCCTCACTCATCCTGGCTCCGCCCTCACGCTCCTCTTCACTCTGTCCCGGTCCCGCCTACAGCTCTGGCCCCGCCCACACACCTACTCCAGTCTGTCACGGTCACGCCTGACTGTGTCACTCTATTCTAGGCTTGGCAGTGGAGCAGCCCTGAGGACTTCCCGGAGGTGCTGTGCCCGCGAGAGACACTGGTGGTGGAGAAGGCCCGGGACACAGATGATCGGGCGAAGCCTCCCCAGGCTGCCCCTGTGCCCGTCCTGGACACCCCACGGTCCTTGGAGGCTGAGAGGCAGGTGCACGGACGCTCGGAGGCCAAGGTCCTGGGACCAGGCAAAGACTGTCCCCGCAGCAGCCTGGCCCACGAGAGACTCCCGCTGCTCCTGGGGGATGTGACCCAGAGAGCCTCCGCATTTGCCGATCTTTGGTGGACCCAGAAGGCTGAGGAACCAGTACCGTCCACCCGGCCTTCGGGGCAAGAGGACTGACTGGTATAGGAGACACCTATTGCGAGCGCAGCCACTCCCTCCTGGGCCCCTGAACCGCAGCAGCTGGTCCACAATAGCTGCTCGGTTTTATAGATGTGAATACTGAGGCTCCAAGAGGGTGAGCGTCTCACTTGAGACCACTTAGCATTGGCAGGACGCAAATCCAGGTCTGAGTGACAGTTGCCTTTTTCTCCTCCAGCTATAGCGCCTCTCTTCTACTCTCTCCAGCACCGGTAACCACACAGCCTGCGAGGGAACCCTAGAAATGGCCTACAAAGGAAACTGCTCAGGCAGCTGGGCACTCAGCACTCGGAGCAAAGCTGGGCACTATTACTGGTCTGTTTTTTGGGTCTTTTAGTCTGAAGGGACCTGGTCACAGGCTGAAATTGGCTCCTGTGTCCTGAGCTGGGGTCCAACTCCAGGAGCACTAGACAGGGAGTCTGGATGTTTCTAGAGCGCCATAATTTAGGTGACTCAAAAGATGGGACTAAGTACCGTGAGAGTGGGCTGCATGCCCCCCTAGACTTCTGGGGGAAGGTTACACATGCAGATTCAGTTTCCCTATTGGAGTACTGAGCACTTAATAAACTTAATAAAGGGCTGAAGCTGGTCATCACGTATACATCTGTCATCCCAGCACCAGGGTGGCAGGGCAGGACTGCATAGAGACTTCCAGGATAGCCTGGGCTACACTAGTCCCTATCTGGACCTGAGTGGGAGACAGCTGAGGCGAGAGGCCTCGGTGTCCAGAACATGGGCCTTGGGTGGCCCCAGCGCCCAAATGCACCCAGGGTCCCCTTCTTACTGCGCAGCTGATAGAGTCGTTAGCTTCTCACATGACCGCCAGGGGGCAGCAGCGGCGCGTGGCCCGGGCACAGGGAGAGTAAGAGCCCCTGAGTGAGAACTCGGAAACCCTGGCCTGGCCGGGAGTGCCTTCAGGGCCAGGCTTCCATAATTAGGGACCTGTTTCCCATGGAAGCTTCTGGCTGTGGAGAGAGAGACCCTTGGTCCAGAAGTCCAGCTACACCGTGGTTCCTGTAGCCCAGGCTGGCCCAAACTCCCAATCATCCAGACTTACTTCAAGTTGATAGGGTTCCTCCCGGGAGCCGGGGTGTGTGTGTGTGTGTGTGTGTGTGTGTGTGTGTGTGTGTGTGTGTAGTGGGGGTGGGGGACTGAGCTGAACAGAGGACACTGCTGCTGCTGCGCTTGGGAGAATTTTCCGGCACAAGCCTGGGGGGACAGGAGAAGTCAGACCAGACCTGGGGGTGGGGAGTCAGTCACCTGCATCCGGCCACGCAGGGTGACCAAAACTTTCCGTCCAGTTACCTGTTTGATTTTGTGTCCTGCCGCTAACAGGGAGTGGCCTACAGGCTTCTGCCTTCTAAGAGAGCTTGCGTGTGGCTCAGAGGTACAGTGACAGCTTGGGATCTCCAGGGGGCTGCTAGAGGCATGGCTCAGGGAGGAGCCCCTGCCTAGAATCCCCCAGTGAGGGGCTGGGGGCGTGGCTCAGAGACAGTGACAGCCTCGGATCTCCAGTGACGGGCGTGGCTGGGGGTGGAATGGTTTTCTTTAATGCAGTATGCCTTGGGTTCAACCCTCACCAGTGCAAAACATATCAGTGTACCAGGCCCCAGCCTGAACGGCATGGGATGTCTCACAGGCTGGTGCACACAGATGCAGCCATCACACCATAAGTTTCACAAACTGGGACCATGATGGGAGCTGAGAGGGTACAGGGTGTGGTGGTGGGGATCCTGGAGGAGGCCATGCTGTGGCTGTGACAGTGAGGCTGGCCCAGAGCAGCAAGTGCGGGGGAAGCTAGATAAACGTCTGTGGCCAGTGGGTGAGGACCTTGCTTTATTTAAGTTTGGCAGACGGAGGTGGCCTAGAGCCAGGTGCTTGTGACTTCCCTGTGAGCTGCAGCCCGGGCTAGTCCACCATCCTCCTACCTCAGCCTCTAGAGTGCAGGCATGACTGTTGTGAGCCAACCCACCCCCCGCCCCACGCCCCCCATGCCCCCCACCCCCCCACCCCATGCCCTTCCCTTCGTCTGTAGGTGGCAGACTCCAGCCTGTGACAAGCAAAGGCATGGGCTGCCTCAGTTTCCCTCCCCAGGTACCTCTCTGCTGTCTTGTCTCCAGTAGCCTCTGCCCTCTGGCCAGGATGAGTGGATTGTCATTGTCACAGAGCAGCCCCAGGGTCGTCACCTGTGCTGGGCGCCAGTGCTCTGGAGCTCTTCACGTTTAGTCGTGCTGCATTCACACTTGTTCATTAAAGTGCACAATCCGGTGACTTTTAGCACATTCCCTTGGTGCACACAGAGTACTTCTGACTAATTCCAGAACATTCCTTACCAAATGCCAAAAGTATCTGTCCCCATGAGCTGCTCCTGTTTCCTAGCTCGCAAGCCTCTTCTGTCACAGGGTCTTAGCCTGTTCCAGACACATAAGATCAATGGGGGCTCTGTGCTGGCTGCTGTCAATCACCACATTGTATTTTTGAGGCTTTCCAGCGTGTGCTTAGAGCGCACTTTGTTTCTCTGTTCCTATGCTGATGGGGACACGACGGCAGTGCTGACGGCGGCAGCAGGTGCTTCCAGCCCATGTGAGTCCTGCTCCTTAGGCCTGTGGTGATGGAGCAGGCTCTGCTCTCCCTCTCTTCCTTTTGTCTGCTTTCCCTTTCTGCTCCCCTTTCCTTTCTGGCTCAGGCCAGATCATGGCTTGTCTCGCCTCTGTTTACCTGTTACAGAAATAGGGACATCAACACACTTGGGGTTTGTGAGAGGAGCCAGGATCCAGGCAGAGGGAGCCACACTCGGTGCCACTATCATCAGTGTGGAGTGAGGCTTCTGCCTGCAGGTGCCTGTGTCTGTCTGCCTGTCTCACTCTGCCCCCTTCTCTGGGTGTTAGGACTCTACGTCACTCCAAGGTGGCCAGGAGTGGGTGGAGAGCCACAGGAAGCCTTGGGTGTTTCTGAGTGGTAGGACTGGGTCCCATTCCTAACTCTGTTCCTCTTGGACAAGCTCTTCTGCTCTCTGAACCTCAGTTTCTCCATCCTGTAAAGAGATTCTGTGTTGCTGCTGGGAGTGAAGGAGCTGAGCTGGCTGGGGGGGGGGGGCTGTGTCCACAAAGGTGGAGGCCACAAAGAAACCTGCATGCTGGCCGGGCACCTCCCCCCAGCAGGGCTGTCTCCCTGTCCTTGGCCCCCACACCTCCAGGCATCTCCACAGCCCCTGACTCTCAGAGCTATTGGCCTCCCTGTGAGCAGGGTCACAACTATCTCTTCATTTTCTCATACTCACTGGCAGAACTCTAGTCCCTTCTCCAGCTGATAACACTTCCAGGACCATTTACTGCTGTGACATCTGAGTGTCTCCTGGTCCCTCCTGAGTCTGAAATCTGTGCATGGTGGCACACAGTACCTGAAGAACAGACTGGGCGGCTTCTCTGCCACGCCTCACCATTGGACAATGGGGCGGGGCTTTAAGGGTCAGTAGCTGAAGAAGGCTTCCTGGTGGAGGCGGTTTTGGGGCCAAGGCTGGACAAGTGGAGGTCACTAAGGACATCTCCATGCAAAGGCCCTGGGATAGGAGGCTGTGCCCCCTGTAGGCACGGCCACAGGCAGGTGTGTAGGGTCCCCCTCTCTGAGAGCAGCAACTTGCCCTGCTAGGGTCTGGAGAGCCCAGGGCAGTTGATTCCCCCCTCTCCAGGGATGGGAGGACTTCTGGGGATTATGGGAGTTTCAGAGACTTCACGGGTGGGGAAACTAAGGCACAGGGCCAAGCCAGTCCTGCTAATCCACTTATCTGCCACTCCCCCAAGCAGCCTGCCTGGGGACTTTCTCATGGGCATAAACAGTGGCAGCCAGTTTCATAAGTGACTGCAGGCTGGTATCGGTTTGCAGATGGCACAACAGATCACCCCGCCTGGGGCAGTGGGGGAGGTTGGCTCTGCTACCTTGTACTAGAGGAAACAGGGCACCAGGCTGGGGCACAAGGACAGAGAGAGAAGAGCTTGGGACCAAGCATGAGCCTCCGTCCCAGGCGCTTAGCCCTGGATCCTCACACACTACTGTCTCATATGGCCCAGGCTGACTTGTAACCCTCCTGCCTCAACTGTGGCAGAAACCCCTGCTGGCTCAGGCCACCAGGGCTGTGATCACAGCTCCCCTCCCACACCAAGTCACAGCCACCTTGTGGTGGAGGTTGCTGGGCCTGGAGCCTGAAGCGGAGGGGGGAGGGGACTGCTGCTCCCTCTGTTCAGGAGCAGGAAGGATGAGACAAGTTTCTCTCCGGGAACTCGGGTAGTGGACTCGGAACCATAGCAGAACTCAGGTGGGTTTCTGAAGCCTCAACTGCATCCCACCTCAGCCTATGCAAATGTCCTGAGTGGACTCGTAGGGACACACTAGGGCACTTTCGTCAATCAAATGGTGTTGTCTGAAGCCTCCTCTTCCAGATCCTTTGGCCCGGCAGCTGTTTCCCACCATCTATCTTCCCTTGGGCATGAACGTCTGGGTTCTTGTGTGCCAGTTCTTTATATGTGCTGTATACTGTTCCTTCATTGGCTGAAGACAATGTCCTGGATTTGCTTTCTGTTGCTGTGACCAACACTAGGACCAAAAGCAACTTGGGGAAGAGAGGGTTCTTTTCATAATCCATCAGGGAGGGACGCCAGGAACTGGAGGCAGGAGTAGATGCAGAGGCCTGGAGGGGAGCTCCCCATGTCTTGCTCAGCCTGCTTTCTTATAGAACCTAGGACTACCTGCCCAAGGATGGCCACACCCACCATGGGATGGGCTCTCCCCTGCCAATTATCAGTCAAGAAAATGCCCTGCAGGCCAATCTGGTGGAAGCATCTTCTCCATTGAGGTCCCTCTTCCCAAATGACTAGCTTGTCTCAAGTTGACAAAAAACTAAGTTACAACAGATATCCTCTGACTTATGGTAGGTTTACATCCTGACAAAATCATCATAAGTTGAAAATGTCAATGAAAAATGTACACAGAGCCTGGCTTGCCTTGAGATGCCTGCTTTGTTCAGGTCCTAGTACCCACACAGCAACTCACAATCTTCAGTGACTCCGGCCCAGAGGTCCCAGCGCCCTCTTCTGGTCTCCGCACAGTGCGCTCGTTCATGTGCGCATAGAATTGTAAAACATAAGGCCCTCAGCCAGCCAAGCATCACAGTTGCAGTAGATGTGTTACTTAGCTCTTTATCTTTCCAATTTCTTCAAGGCATCTTGTGATAAACAAAAAATCCTGTTATTTTTTAAAAAATTATTTATGTATGCTACTGTGTGTGTACTTGCACTTATGCCTGTGTGCGTGTGGAAGCCAGGGCTGAGGGTGGATCAGCATCTGGTGTCTCCACGCCCCCAACCTTCCTTCTCATTGCATTTTCACTCATCTTCCTGAGAGGCATGAGCAGGGATCAGAGGGCAACTTTCAGGAGTTGATTCTCTCCTGGCTCATGGGGCCTGGGGACAGAACTCTGGTTGCCAGGGGTCGACAGCAAACTCTTTTACCCACGAGCCACCTTGCCAGCTTGACCCTGGGACAGTGCCTCTCACAGTACTGACCTCTGTGACCCTC